TCTATTCAGCAGTAAAGAAAGATGACATAATGAAATCTGCAGGTAAATGGATGGATCTAGAAAATGTTATACTAAGTGAAGTAACAGACTCAGAAAAATAAACGATGTATGTTCTCCCTCATATGTGGCTCCTAGCACCAAAACCTTTAAATCCAGGTCCTTTTGATAAGATGATGCTATACAGCAATCCCCTATGCATGAAATAACTACCATCATCACAACTTTGGCTGAGCGTGATCACTAAACATGGTCACAATTGGGCTTGTTGACAGTTGTGGCTCATTCATTAAAGGAGCTCCAAGCAGGGTCACTGGACCCTCACCTGAGTATCCAGTCACTCTTCCCAGCCAACTAGTCCCACCTTGGAAGACAAAAGAAAATGAGGAAGAACCCAATAGAGGGATGCTTTTGGAAGCCCTTGTCAAGAAGCTCCAATGGACTCTCATATGAACATTTGAAAAGTGCCCTGTTCTGACTTTTTTCTAGTTCTCTGGCTAGAACTTGTAATGCTAATTACTCCTGCCTTTACTTCTCCTTCACATCTCCCATTCATGATTCAGTGGCTTTCTTCTCCCCTTAGAGACAAAAGTTATGCGATTTGGGAGTCTTTTAGATAGACCCACTGAAGGGTACTCCAATTGCCTCACCCTACGTCCCTGTTCAGCATGGAAGAAGCTAGATATGTCGGCGTTCCTATTCCCTAATTGGCAATTTAGGTAACCCCTTCAGAGGATGGTGTGATAAAAATAGGAGGTAGGAATTGCCTAGGCAGTTAGGGTAAAAAAAAAAAAAACCCAAAAGTAGCCAGTTTCTTGGCTAAAAGTCAAAGTGTCCTTTGGTCTGTTAGTAACATACTCTGTTCCAAGGCCAAAAATGTCAAAAGTATTTGGGAGCTTTTATCTAACCCTTAAAAGATTTTAGGGTTACCTCTTCAGAGGGGGGAATTTTACAGTAGTCAAAAGCCCCATTTAAAAAAGAAGAAGAAAGAGTTTAAAAAAAAAAAAGAAAACAAAAAGAAAGTATATTAGTTCTGGGCCTAGGACAAACTGTTCCAGAATGAGAATGGATGAGAATAATGTCAGAAAATGTAAGTAAATTGTAAAAGAAATCAAAAAACTAAATTTTAAACAAGTAAATGTGGTTATAATAAAGTTTATTATAATATAAAGATTATTAAAATCTTAATATCAGAAAAAAAAGCGACTTAAGGAAGGTAGGATCCATTTGGCTTACAGCTCTAAGGTGCAGTCCATCGTACAGTTGTAGGGTGCACTCCATCATGGCAGGAAGCCATGGCTGCAGTAGCTGGAGGTAGCTTTGCACGTGTGAGAGAAGCACTCCACCATCCAAGCCACATCCACAGCCCCCAATGTTTTTATTTTATTTTCGGGGGATGGGAATTGAACCCCTAAATAAACATGGGCTCAGACTCCCAGCTCAGCCCCAGACTGAGCATTTCAATGCCCCCCCCCGCAGCACCAAGCTACTGAGTTCTGTAAATACAGAACCAGGCACTGTGTCCTCAGTTCATCAGCTATGTAGTCAGGCAACAGATAGAGTGCCAGGCCCTGTCCCAGGTGCTGAAGATGCTGCAAAGAGCAAAATTATGCTCATTTATGCCCCATGTAGCAAGCAGTCTAGTGGAATGAAAGGCACTAATGAGCAATGATATAAATGTAAAATTGCAGCTAGGCTACGGCTGCCAGGTTCACAAATAGAAACACAGGACGTCCAGTTACATTTGAATTTCAGATAAATAACACAATTTTTAGATGTATGGCCCAAATATTACATGAGACATACTGTTTATCTGAAATTTAGATGTAACCAGTGTGATGGGTAATACCAGTACCATGTAAACTGAGTATAGTGTTGCCCATTTGTAATCCCAGCACTCAGGAGATAGAGACAGAAGGATCAAAATTCAAGGTCAAGGGCTGAAGAGATGGCTCAGTGGTTAAGAACACTGGCTGCTCTCCTAGAGGACTTGGGTTCAGTTCCCAGTACCCATATGGTGTCTAACAACCATCCTTAACTCCAGTTCCAGGGGATTCGACTCCCTCTTCTGGCCTCTGCAGGCATTGCACAACACAGGTGCACTTACATACATTCAGGCAAAACACTCATACACATAAAGTTAAATAAAATATTTGTAAGAAACAAAAAAGATAATTTAAAGTATTCAAAATAATTCAATTCAAGCTAGGCGTGGTGGCACACGCCTGTAGTGCCAGCATTTGGGAGGCAGAGGCAGGCAGATCTCTGTGAGTTCAAGGCAAGCCTGGTCTACATAGTAAGTTCCAGGACATCTGGGGCTACAGGGAGACCCTGCTTCAAAAAGACAAAAAAAAATTCAATTCATAATTTTTAAAAATCAAGGTCATCCTTGGCTACAAGGTGAATTTGAGACAAGCCTAAGATACAGGAAACCTTGTCTCAAGAAACAAAGAAAGAGGGGGCTGGAGAAATGGCCCAACAGTTAAAAGCACATATTGCTCTTGCAGAGGACCTGAGTTCAGTTCCCAGCACACACATCTGGTGGTTCACAACCACCAGTAACTCAAGTTCGAGGGGGATCTGACAGCTTCTGGTCTCCCACATACCAACACACAGATATATGTGCATACACATGGTTAAAAATAAAAATAAGTAAATTTTTAGCCGGGCGTGGTGGTGCATGCCTTTAATCCCAGCACTTAGAAGGCAGAGGCAGGCTGATCTTTGCAAGTTTGAGGCCAGACGGGCCCACATAGTTCCAGGACAGTTGGGGCTACAGGGAGACCCTGTCTCAAAAAGTCCAAAAAAAAAAAAGTAAGTTTTTAAAAATAGAGAAGAGTTCAATCCCCAGTGCCTTCTAAACCAGGTGTGCTGCACACATATGATCAAAGCACTGGGGAAGTGGAGGCAGGAAGATCAGAAGTTGGTCATCCTTGGCTACATAGAAAATTCAAGGCCATCCTGGGCTATGTGAGACTGTTCCAGTTTCATTTCTGTTGCTGTGATAAAACACTGACCAAAAGCAGCTTAGAGGAGAAAAGAACTTATTTGGCTTACAATTCTAGGTCCGTCATTGAGGAAACTCAGGGCAGGAACTCAAAGGCAGATTTACTTCCTAGTCCACACAGTATTACTTCCAACCAAGGAATTCACTTCACAGCCAAAGAAGTACAGCAGATCCTTGGAGAGTGCTGTTTGGTAGCTGCAAGGCTAGCTTATTCTCAGCTAGCTTCCCACTTCATTTAACAAGCAAGACAATGCCCCATAGACATGCCCAAAGGCCAATCTGATCTGGACAGTTCCTCAACTGAGGCTCTCCTCTCAGATGACTCTAGGCTATGTCAAGTTGACAGTGAAAACTAACAGGAAAGGGAGCTTAGAGAGATGGCTTAGTGGTTAAGAGTACTCCCCAGGCACACATACATGTAAGAAAAACACTCATACACATACACTTTCAAAGTAAAATACACATACAATTTCAACATTAACTAATTAATAATTAATTAAATCTTTCAGGGAAAAAAAAAAGCTAACCAGAAGAGAGATCCAGTAACACCAGTCAGTGACATCAGGTGATTTTTTTTCTACCATGTCAGTTGCATGGCCACAAACATGCAGAAAAGAAAGATCTCTGACAAAAAAGGAAAAATGAAAGGATGCATGGTGCTTGGAACTACAGCCGTATTTGCCAAGATGAGAGAACTGAGGAGTAGGTAGCCAGATAGTTTTGCCTCTCTGACGTAAGGAAGATGAGGACAGAAAGGAGGAGACAGGAGGTGTCAAGGCCCCAGCTCATGAGACCAGATGCTATAGGCGGCATTGGTAGACGTGGAATATAGGAGCAGGGCCATGTTGAAGGGAAGAGTGTAAGTTCCAGTTTGAGGTGACCTGGAGTGCAGGTCATCTTGTTAACTGGGTAGAGTCTGATGCTGGGAGGAGATGTCTGAGTTGAACTTTGAAATCTGCCTTCAAGAGTGCGGCCTTGTATTTATTTGGATGGAGTCTTAGAAGGAAAAGCAAAAGGGAGACCTGACATGATGCTGGGGGAGGAAGAGGAGCTTGCCAGGAAAGTGAGGGAGGAGGAAAAGGAGACATGGCATTATGTTACAGAACCAGACAGGGGTGTGTTTCAAGTTGATGGAGTGAGCCATGGGGTAGGATGGAGCCTAGGATAGCTTAGCAACTTTGGAGGTCCCAGGGACAGGAGCACTTCAGTGCAGTGCCAGGAGCAGAGGCTGGCAGCTGTGGAGATGGAGAGAGTGGGTGGTGAGGAAGAAGGAGGCTGTGATCAGCTTTGTCAAGAACTTGACTTGGAAACAGGGAGCAGAGCTGGGATAATTAAAGACTTCATTTTCTGAAGAAATTAGAAGAGCAATTGCTGGTTTCTCAACCCAGACCTGCTGGCAAGAGAGGCATCAGGTACATACAGGAGAGAAGCTTGTGGGACAGGGACAACTCTTTCTGGGGCCTAGAACTGAGCCAAGGCAGTTGGGCCTGGGCAGAGGAAGAGGGGATGTGGTGGGTAGCCGCATGGGTCTGTGTTGTTATCAGAAAAATAAGGGAGTCCCATTCTGTGGCCAGGAAGATGGGAAAAGCAAGGCTCTGTAAGGAGGTCCCCAAAGTGTGAGGAGGCTGAAAAGGTTGAAATCATTGCAAATTATGAGTTTGTTCCAGAGAAATGCAGTTGGATTGGCTCACAGCACTGGAAGGTTCAGTAATATCAGCCAGTGACATCAGGTGATTTTCTACCATGGCCACAGACATGCAGAAAACAATGACTGGAGGAGACATGATAAAAGCCCCACCACCACCTGCCACTAATTCTACACCACTGGGTAGGCCTGTTCCCCACCCCAGGAGCCAGCCAGGTTGCCAACAACCAGGTGTGCAGAGCCTCGGGCCATCTTGTGAGTATGTTCTCCACCAGCACAAGGCAGTCAGGCAGGCAGGCCGACCATCCCTGACTGGAAAGTGCTGTTAGAAATAACTATATTTGCCCACAGATCTTCAGGCTGACCCGAAGCAAGGTGGATGATGACAAGGCCCGCATCCTAATCCGTAGCCTGCTGGACCACCCAGCCCTGGAGGAGCTGGACCTGTCCCACAACCTCATTGGAGACCGTGGCGCACGAGCTGCCGCCAAACTGATGCGCCACAGTCGCCTGCGGGTGCTCAACCTGGCCAACAATCAAGTGCGGGCACCGGGTGCACAGTCGCTGGGTCATGCCCTGGCACACAACACCAACCTCGTTTCCCTCAACCTCCACCTCAACTGCATCGAGAATGAGGGGGGCCAGGCAATTGCCTATGCCTTGCAGACCAACAAGTGCCTCACCACACTGCACCTTGGTGGCAATGAACTATCTGAACCCACAGCCACACTGCTCTCCCAGGTGTTTGCTATCAACACCACGCTCATCAGCCTCAACCTGTCCTGCAACCACATCGGGCTGGTGAGCCATGGCTTTGGGGGCAGATGGGCATGGGATGGAGTGCAATTGTCATAGGCCAGGGCAGGAATGCTTTAGGAGAGACTGTGTGTGTTGCATGCTGCATGCAGAATGCATACAGTCCTGCTAATGTGTGTGCCCCAATGTCCTTCCTTTTTCGTTAATTTTTTTCTATTTTCGTGTGTGTGCATGCGCACACGTGCACATGTGTTGTGTATATGTGTACACATTTTTTGTGTACAGGGATGTATGTGTGTGTGCATGCACATGGAAACCCAAGGTTGATGTTGGGAATCATCCTCAATGGCTCTTACCCTTTATTCTTTGAGGCAGGGTCTCTCAGTCAAACCCAGAGCTCACCAATATGGCTAGTCTTTCTAGCTAGCTTGCTCTGCAAATCTGTCTCCTCCTGAGTTACAGGTCCATGCCCATTCAGCCTGTTTCTGGGTTCTGGGGATCCAAACTCGTGTTTATGCTTACGTGGCAAGGGCTTTAACCACTGAGCCATTGCTCTAGCCCCTCTTTTTCCTTTAATCCTTACAGTTATTGGGAGGAAAAGTGAGGTTTGTTTTGAGACAAGGTCTTATGTAGCCTAAGCTGACCTCAAACTTACTATGTAGTTGAGGATGACCTCGAACTCCTGATCCTCCTGTCTCTACATGCCACATACTGGGATTACAGGGTATACTGCCATACCTTGCTTGAGGGTTTTGGGGAGTTTGGGGCAGCAAGTAGGGAGCCCAGCTGAGCACTTTCTAACAGACAGACACTTCTCAGCTTTCCTGACTGAGATATGGAGGAAGAACTGCAAGTTACATGAGCACTTGAAACACACAGGTACACTAAACATCCATGCACACCCGCACACACACACACACACACACACACACACACAGGAGGGGGAGAAACCACTTCCCTCTTACTGCTTGTGACTTGTGTTCACATTTTCCTTAGGTTCTATTTTATTTCATGTTTTTTGTTTGTTTTTTGTTTTTGAGGTTTTTTGGTCTTTTTGAGACACGGTCTCCTTGTAGCCCCAGCTGGCCTGGAACTTGCTATGTAGACCAGGCTGGCTTTGATCTCACAGAGATCCACCTGCCTCTGCCTCCCAATATTTCATGTTTTAAAAAATGCTTCTGTGAGACTGGAGACATGGCTCAGTGGTTAAGAGCACTGACACTCTTTCAGAGGACCTGGGTTCAATTTCTAGCATGCATATGGTGGCTAACAACCATCCCTAACTCCAGTTCCAGGGGATCCAACTCCCTCTTCTGGCCTCAGCAGGCATTGCATGACATGAGTGCATTTATATACACGTAGGCAAAACACTCATACACAGAAAGTAAAAACAATAAAATATTTTAAAAATAAAAATGCCGGCCGGGCATGGTGGCACACGCCTTTAATCCCGGCACTTGGGAGATAATGAGTTCCAGGATAGCTGGGGCTACAGGGAGACCCTGCCTCAAAAAGACCAAATAAATAAATAAATAAAAAATAAATAAATAAATAAATAAGCCTCTGTGACCCATTAAATTGACTTTACAACCTGGAATTGTTTCACTTTGGATCTGGCCCACCCACCCAACCCTGAAACAGATGGAAATGTGAAGAGGGAGGCCCTGTGTACTTGTTTGGCCTCTGAACAGTCAACCCATCAAGAGAATAGCCTCTCTCTTGCTCGCTCGCTCGCTCGCTCTCTCTTTCTCCCTCTCCCTCTTCTTTGACCCATTAAATTGACTTTACAACCTGGAATTGTTTCACTTTGGATCTGGCCCACCCACCCAACCCTGAAACAGATGGAAATGTGAAGAGGGAGGCCCTGTGTACTTGTTTGGCCTCTGAACAGTCAACCCATCAAGAGAATAGCCTCTCTCTTGCTCGCTCGCTCGCTCGCTCTCTCTTTCTCCCTCTCCCTCTTCTTTTTCTTCCTCTCTTTTTCTCCCTCTTTTTCTGTCTCTGTCTCTGTCTCTGTCTCTGTCTCTCTCTCTCTCTCTCTCACACACACACACACACACACACTATGTGCTATGCCGTTTCCATAGGAGTAAAGGGAGAATACTGAAACACTGTTTCTTTATTTATTTGTGTATGTGTGAATGTATACCATCTGTGTGGGTGCCCCAAGAGACCAGTAAAGGGCATCAGGGTCCCTGGAGCTTGATTTAAGGTAGTTGTGAACTGCCTGATATGGGTGCTGGGAGTCAAACCTCAGTCCTCTGCAACAGCAGTAAATGCTCTTAACCACTGAGCCAACTCAGTTGAGCCAAATCTGAGCCCCAGATTTATTCTTATATGTATGAGTATATGTGAGTGCTTGAATGTATATATGTACACTGTGTATGTGCCAGATGTCTGTAGAAACCAGAGGAAGACATCAGATTCCCTGGAACTGGAATTACAGGTAATTGTGAGCCACCATGTCAGTGCCAGGAACCAAAGATGAGAACTCTGCAAGAGCAGCAAATGCTCTTATAGCCCTGATTTTTTTAGCAGTGGGGGGGTGTTAAAGGCTTTTTTTTTGAGACAGTGTCTCCCTGTAGCTCCAGCTGTCCTGGAACTCACTACGTAGACCAGGCTGGCCTTGAACTCACAGAGGTCCACCTGCCTCTGCCTCCCAAGTGCTAGGATTAAAGGTGTGCACCACCTCGCCCAAGGGTAGCCCAAGCTGGTCTTGAACTCACTATGTGACCTTGAACTTCTGATGTTCCTGCCTCCACCTCCCAGCTGCTGGGAATACAGGCACGTGCACCACACCCAGTGCCACTTCTCTTTTTGTTTTCATCCCTTTCCAAATTTCCCCTCACATCTCACTAGACAGACTTGTGTCATGTCCCAGGAAGGAAACAGGAATCAAATTACCTCCAGGAATCCATGGTTTCAAACCACTGGGTTTGAAATACCACCTTAGTGGTTTTTGACCACCATTTTTCAAGTGGAGTAGAACTTGTCCATGTCCTGCACAGATAGGTTAAGTGTGACTTTGTAAAAAGTGTGTCTTTGTCCCATCTGTATGAAACTGTGTGCACATGATCCTGGAAGTGGTGGGAAATAACCCCTCCATCTTACCCCTCCCTAGGATGGTGGGAAGCAGCTTCTGGAAGGCATGTCAGACAACAAAACCATTCTGGAGTTTGATTTGCGCCTGTCAGATGTGTCTCAGGAGAGTGAGTATCTCATTGGCCAGGCTCTGCATGCCAACCGAGAGGCTGCCCGCCAGCGCACCCTGAATCCTGGCCACTTCATGTCACCCATCACTGCCAACTGTGCTGAGAATTCTGTGGGATAAGATGGGGGACAGGGCTAGAGCAGTGACCTGGTAGAGTCACTGCCACAGCCACACCCTCATTTAACACCCTTGCTGTATAATCAGTTTGCTGCCTGATGTGTCACTGGTTCTGAGGAAGGGGGATAGGAAGACCATCCATCTCCTCAGAATGAGTGATGAGGGTTGTATGCATGAAAATGTGAGGCAGATAAGGGGGCCTGGGAAAGGATATAGAGAGCTAACTGCTAGATCTTTAAAAGAGATATTGCTAGACCCCTACAAATTATAAGCTCCCAGGAATAGGGAAGATGAAGAGGATTCTGAAGGGACTAACCCTGCCCAGGCTCTCTATGAGGGCCATTCACCTCTGACTCACCCCCAACATTTCTCTCTCCACTAAACAGACCTTTGACCTTCAATCTCAGTCTCTTTCCATTGCCCTCCACCAACATACACACACAGCAGAGCTCCATGCCCATCTCTGTCATCCTCATCACCTGCCAGTCATGGTCCTTGTGTGATCCGGTTCTGCAGACCACACTATCTCCTAATTCCCAACCCTCAAGCTGGAAAGGGAACAACAGGTGACAGAGGGGCTCAGATTCAGTGTTGGGGGGCCGGATATTTATGCCACCACCCCTGGCATCCAGAGTGGGGAAAAAGTGCCATTCTAAGGAGGGAAGTTAGTGAGTCATCCACAACTTTTATTATCCACCAGTTTGATTTGTACAGTCTTTGCGCTTGAAATTCCACGACAAAAAGGCCACAGTGTGATGCACCCAAATGACAAGAGACCTATCTTCTTCCCAGCCAGGCCCAGCCTACCCCACAAGCCCTTACCCTCAAGACATATGGAGTCTTCTAGGTACCCTCCATGAGTTCCTGTCACTCTGTGACTGCCCAACCTGGGGCTATACCCATAGGAATCACATCAGCTTATGGAGTCCTGAGTAGACCTGACCAGTGAATTCACGCCAAGCCCTTTATTTCTCCACTCTCCTGAGTCCCTAGATCCACATTCCCAAAGGGTGAGTCACTGGCTTTGACTGCATCCAGGAGGGCCTGGTCTCCAGGGACTCCTGACAACAAGCAGGCGCTGAGCAGAGCACCAGAGGGGGCTTGAGAGTGACTGTTTATGTGTACCTGTCCAGGCAACCTAGAGTCATCTGTGCCTGACACCCTCTGACAGTTCCAGAGTGCAAACATGTAGGTGTGAGGGTGTGTGTGTGTGTGTGTGTGTGTGTGTAGTCACAGCTGCTAGCAGAGGTTCTAATTAGAGAAACAAGAACATTCAGTGTAAAGTTTAATTTTAGAGATTAATTAATTTTCTGGTTTTCATTTTCCCTGGCAATCAATAAAGCTACCAAGAAAAGAGATCAAAGAATTGTTTTCTCTCTAAGTCTGTAAGTGTGTGGAAGTGAGGCTGTCAATGTGAGAAGACCTAGGCAGAAATGGTCAGGGAAAATAACAGGGCTTCCCCTCCCTCTCCTCCAAGTCCAAGCTCTGCCTCAGGTCCTGGCATGAAGGAGAAACAGCCAAATTCTTCCTTCTCTGGAGCTGTGAGGCAGCCAGGCTGCCCCTAAACTGAGAACAGGACATCCAGGTGCCAGCTGGCCAAGAACTGGGGCCTGAAGCCACAGCTCACCCACCACCTGTACCTCAACAGATGTCCACTCCAGGGTGCTCCAACAACCAAGGACCCCAAGAGCTCAGACTCAGGGTCTTGGTGGGTTCAGTGCTAGCAGGCCAGTGGGCACTGCCACCTGGGAAAACCTGCTGGGCAGCTGTGCTGGTCCCTTCTGCCCAAACCTCTCCTCGTCTGACACCCCTCCCTCCTCACTCAGCCACTCCCTACATGGTTAGGAAGCTCAACCCCCATTTGAGCCTGGCATTCCCCACAATTTAGGCTTCCCACATCCCACTGGGAAGAAGGGAAGGGGAACCAGGGGCGGTGTTGCATAGGTGGGGGCCACGCCCAGTGGCTGGTGCAGGCCTGATTGGGCCAGGAGGAAGAAGGGAGACCGTGAAAGCAGAGTTCTGATGGCTGAGGCAAAGCTCAAGGCTTGGGAAGCAGTGCTGGAAGGATGTGAGTCCAGTCCCTGGGCACTAAATCTGCTGGAAAAACTTTAGCCAGGGCAGCTGGGAGGGAGCAAGGGGCTAAACACAGACATGCACACTGAAGCTCGGTGGGTGAGTTGGAGGAGGGAGAAAAGTCAGTGTCAAGGCTTTGGGAGATCAGAGGGGGGGGCAGTGCCCTTGGGTGGGCGGTGGCATGACACCCTTCTGAAGACCCTGGGATGCAGAGCTTTAAAAACTCACAGGGTAGGGGGAAATGGAAGAGTCTGGCAAGACTTCAAGAACTCCTGCCACTGGAATTGAGCATCTATGCAGTTGGAGCTTGTGACCAACTCAGCCCCACAGAGGCATGTGTAAGGGACATAATTATACTCCTTCCCCAACGTCTGAGGGAGGAAAAGCTGCCCCCACCCACACTTTGAGAGGTGGTTTCACTCCCCCTACCACTACCCTCTTTTCCTTCTCCTGCCTGCCTCCTGACACCCAGGTGGGACTCAAGCTTTGTCCACTTAGTCACCCACCATGGCCAGCTTTAAGAAGGCCCTCTAGGATGGCACTTTAGCCTCCTTAATGGAAGCACCTACCCAGAACCCAGGGGAAGAGGCTGCTGACAGGAGGCTGTCTTTTCCAGAAAGGACTGAGGCATGTACTCCACAACTCCACTCCTTCCTGCACCTTGGCAACAGCTCTTTAGAGCCAGTGAACCCCAAGGTGAGTGACGTCATTGGTGTGGTGAACAGTCCCTCCAGGACCCAACCCCTGGGGCTCAGTGAAATAAACAACAGTAGAGGGAGTGGCTGGAAGGAAACCCCAAGCTTTCCAACCAGCGCCAAAAGGCCAGAATATTCCACGGTGTGAGGAGAATTGGGGAGGCCACCTGGCCCCAGCTTCAGTGAACTCATTAGCTGGTTGGGGGCCAACCTTACTGTGAATACCTAACCACCAGCCTCCTCTACAGAGGACCAAGCGGGGCGAGGCAAAGGATGCCCCCAATGCCCTTCCTGACAGCTCTACACTTGGAGCACTGCCAGGATGGCTCCCTGGGTGCAGAGGCCCAAGACGGGTCCCATCTCTCAGTTGCCTAATAACAGTCAGAAGGCCGAGGAAAGACTAGGCAGGAAATCTCGAGTGTGTAAAATGTCCCCTTAGGAACTCGGTGGGGACTGGAAGAGAGTCACCTCTGCCTGGCGAGCGGGATTCTCAGGAGCTGACATCCCCCCTACCACCCTCTGTCTCTCGGTCTACAGGGAAGTGGGGGGTTTCAGTCCCACTGGGGTCTGTCTGAGTGCCTCCTGCCTTCCAGAATACCCTGCCCAACCTCAGTCACCATCCTGCCTCCCGCTACCACAAGCAGGGAGCACAACGCAGCGAGGGGCAGGAAGGAGAACGGCGCAAGCCCCTCCAAGGGCGGAAGGTCACAGTGAGGTCTCCACACAGGAGCCATGGCGGTGCAGCGGCCGGTGACTGTGGCCCAGACACCCCTCCTGTCGGTGGACGATGAGGACAGGGAAGTAGAGGGCATCCTGGTAGGGCGGCGGCGGTCCGGCCTCCTCCTCCTCGTCGTCTTCGTCCTCATCATCCCGCATGCTGGCCTGGCTGGACAGTCGCGTCTGCTCCGTGGGGCAGCTCGCCTCGTTGACGCTCCCACTCCGGCTGCGCCACAGGCAGCTGCGTCGGGAGCCATAGAGGCGACCGAGAGAGAAGCGGCTGCCACCGCAGCCAGGACCCCCACCCGGGCCCGGGCCGGCCCGCGGACTGGCGCAGATGCTCAGAGCGCTGCGCGAGAAGATGGACGAGCTGCTGACCGCGCGCTGGCAGTGCTCGCAGCTGCGGCGATACGGGGCCAAGCCGGCCGCGCCAGGACCACCCACCCCGCCGTAGCGACAGGTGGGCGCGTAGCCACCGGCCCCTGCCCCGCCGCAGCGCGCGCCCAGCCCGGCCAGGTCCATGAGCACCGCCTCGGAGTAGCTGGGTACCAGCTGCTGGTTAGAGCGGATGTGCCACTCGAGTTCGGTGCTGTCCACCGTGTTGACCCGCGGCAGGCGATGCGTGAGCGGGGGCAGCAGCTCGTCGCTGGGACTCAGGCCGCCGCCCACGCTGCTCGCTGAGCCGGGTCCCTCCAGACCGAAGAGCTTCTCCACGTGGTAGTGCGCATAGGCCGTGCGGTACTCGGACAGCACGCGCAACGGCCAGGACAGCGTGAGCAGTGCGGCCGCCCAGAAGGCCGATGAGCAGGCGTACCAGGGTGGCCTGGCTGGGTCGGGGAAGGCCACCATGAACTCGCGGAAGTCCACGTTCTTCAGATGCATGCCCTCTCGTGCTTCCATGTAGTCATCCAAGCCCTCGTTCTCGGCGAAGAAGCGTGCGCGCTGGCACAGGTACGCGTTCTCGGCCTCCACGCTGGCGAAGCTGAAGCACTTGGTGAAGCGCAGCCGCGTGGCCGGCGCGCCTTCCAGCCCCACCAGCGCCTTGGACACGTCTCGGACGCCACAGCGCGCGTAGTCGAACTCGGCCTCCGCCACGTGTGTATTGACACGTTCATGGTAGACCTGCAGCACGCGAGGAGGAGGCTAGAGTGTCGAGGAGTGGATACCGCGAATTGCTCCTCTTGCTGCCTGGCTGATCCCTAAGCCTATCCCACCAGTGTTAGGTACTGGTTGGGGCCTGACAGGATCTTAACACCTGATCTGTGGAGTAACCAAGGCCCTTACCTAAAGCAGTGAGTCAGAGAAAAGGATAGAACTAAAATCTCTTCTCACTAGTGTACATCCATTGAGTTCCTTTCTCTAGGGTCAGGCCCTGGCCATGAGCTGCCCTCCTGGCTTTACTGATCCATTTGTCGGTGCGTGTGCTGTTCCATGTTGCCCCTCACTAACACCAACAACCTCCCCACCATCTTCTCCTTTACAAGTGTGCTCCCAAGTAAGTGCTCCAAAGAGATCGCTAAAGAG